TCCTTGTATTTAATATTATATATATAAATAGTTAACTATATTTTTTAATAATAGTTAGCTATTGTTTTTTTTATTATGCAAACTATAATAGGTAATTGCATTCTAAACATAGTTACCTATGTTTATCTAAATAAGTAACTATTACAATAAGATTTTTATATAGTTAACTATGTTATGAATCGATAGACTTATACAATTATTTTATGAAAATAGTTAACTATACTATAAAAATAGTTAACTAGGGTTTTATTCGTAACTATTTTCTTAAAAATAGTTAACTATGTTTTATATAGTAACAAAATAATCTGAGATAGTTAACTATCTTTCAAGTTCAAAAGTAGTTTCAAAAATAGTCAACTATATTATTATTCTTAGCTAACTACGAAAAAATTTTTGTTATTAATCAAAGTAAATATTTATAGAGATTTTTTACTACTTTTTTAAATTTTCGTAGGAGCAAATTTGTCCAACTTTTTCATCTCTCTCTTAGTTACCTAAATTCTATTATACATATGTTACTTTCCTAATTATCTATTCCAAAACTAATATTCACCTAATTAACTCTAGTAACAAATCATAAGAGTTTGGAGTTAGTTACCAATATACACACTTTCTTAAAAGTAATATCCGGTTGAAGAAGGCGTCATGGATGAAAAAACGTAGAAAGTTGAGGAAGAGACGGTCAAATTGATCTGATTAAGAAATCTATCACGGTGGGAGTTAGTTTGTGTACAAATGCAGTTTTTATAGAAGAGCGATTCAAAGAACTATTTAGATAAGGTCGAAAGGGATTTGATTGGGTTCTGATTAAGAAATATGTCACGATGGATGAGATTTTTTTTTTCTTTTTGATCCTCGTGTTTCCGTCGTCGTGGTGTATGTTTATCGATGTATTTCTCATGAAAGTGACTAAGTGAAGATGAAGGAGATGATGATTGGACAAGAAAATGAAAAAGAGCGTGCTTCATAATCAAGGTTAAGAAGTTGAAGAGAGGGGAAAATAAAAGAAATATTGTTCATTAGAAGAAAAAAAGATAGAAAAGTAGTATTCATATTGGTCTTTG